ATCCCTGTGCCTCAGCCAAATCTGACCAGCTGGAAATGGAGGGAGAGGGTGGGTTTCCCCACAGCTTAGACCTCCGCACCAACCCCTTCAGCACAGCAAAGATTGATGACTTTATACTTTCACAATATGGTGTAGCACTGTGCTACTCTCTTTGGGGCTGCTGTTGCACAGGCTTCCCATGGTGCTTCACAGCTCTACTCTGTCATGGCTGGAAATAACACAGAAGACTGGATCTCCCCAGGGAGATGAAGCACTATCCTAGCCTGGGGCCTTTCTTACCACCTGTTGTTGGTTATAGAGTCCTGAAAGCTTTTTTGTTCTGTGAATCCAGTTCATAGGAAGCTTATTTTGCCTGCACACAGAGGTTCAACCCAAGCGCTGTGCATTGCTCTGGATGGCAAGGATAGCCAAAGCTTAAATGAGACAGTGCTGAGTGTTTTAGTGACGTGTTCTCCCTTATAAATTTTGCCCTCTTATCACTGACAGTCAGTGGAGCTGCACCGTTAACTCCCTAGCAAGAGGTTTGCATTTTTGGAACGAAATATTCCTGTGCCACTTGTATGTGGCTTAGCTGGTGAAAACAAAGCTTTTATCTACCACGGGTCTTGTAGATAATGTGTCCCTTCTCCATTGTTTCTGCCGAAATGTCATTTAGAGTTTCTGTACAGATGTTCAGGGTTGAATTCTGTCCCTGGTTGCTTGTCAGTCCAGTAAGTTGTTCTTGCAGAGCTGAACAAAGACACAGGAGCTCACACTGTGTGTCTTATTGCAAAACCCCACTGGATGGACCTTCAGGCTGCAGATGTGTGTTCTGTAGGAATAAAAATTAAAACTTTAGTTCACAGGGCTCCTTTTAGTGGGCATGTTGTTGTAACTATGCCCTCCTTCAGAGTTGGTAGTACGTGAGATTGAGCAGGGCTGATTCTGGGCAGTCCCTGAATGGTAAGCTCTTCATAGGTGGTGACCTTCCCTGGCATTGTTGTTACTGGATTTTGACCCAAATTGGTGCAGGCTAATGGTGTTAAACTCTTTGGGATGCTAGTGTCAGACTGTGTTGCTTGCTGACATGATTTAGGCCTTGGCTCTTTTCATCAACAGATTGATGCTGACATTCTTCCTCAGGGAATGGCAATCTGCCAAAGCAAAATACCTACCTAGTACTCTCAAAGCCACCTTGCTTTTCACTTCTCCTTTTATGAATCTTCTGCTGCACCAGTCCCACAGAACCGCAGTAGCTGTATGTCCCTTGGATCTACTTCATTACAATACGGAGCCACAGAGAAAATTCACCTCCATGCAGAGAGCCAGCACAAAATGGAGGATCCTGGTCAGCTTACACTTAGAACTGAAAAAAATCTTCCTTTGAACATTGCATAGACTTCATGATAAACTCTGTACAGAGGGGATTTTCACACAGAACATTACGCACAGTCTAAAATTGTCCATGGTTACTTGAAGGCTTAACAGAGTTGCACCAGGCAATTAAAAGCAGAATCTGGCTCTCTTTCTGCAAACTGCAGAGCTGTCCTTTGGGATAAAAGGTGCTTGGGAAATGTAAGTTATAACAATACCAAAAAAATTCCTGTCTCTCTGTGTCATGAGGTGGTGCTCAAAGTCACACACATGCAGAGAGGGAAACAATGGGCTCCTGGTAGGGGATTTTTCATGAGGGCCCAGCACTGACCCATGCAGAGTGAGGATTCTCAAGTTACAGATGGAGGGAGGAAGAGGATCAGAAAAACAGAACTGGTTTGAAGTTCATGTGATGAAAAGTGGTAGGCTGCAGTTCAAAGACAGGATTATTGGCCAGTGTTGCTTTAGTAGTTGGTGGGGAAAAAGCTTAAGGCCACAGCACTACTGCATTGCTGATTTAACAACACAGCCAACATTGTGTATGATATTTGAGTCACTTCTAAATCCAGCCTCTGGCAATGAAAAGCATGTTTAATCCATGTGTTAGATTGTTTGAAGAGGTATCTCTCTCCTGGTCTCTCCCTGAGGTTGGGATTGCTGAAATTGAAAAGGAGGGCAGAGAGGAGATTTTAACTGTTTCATAAACCCTTCTCCTTTTGAGGGTGTCACATCTCCAATAGCATCTTTAATGTCTGCTAGATTGAAAATTGAAAGCCTCTCTCCCCTCTTCACTCCTGCAGAGAAAACCCCCACTGCCTCTTCTGTGACTAAGGGGCAAAAATCAAAGGCAGGATTTGTATTTAAACAGTTTATTGTTTTTTTCTCAAGCTGGGATTAATGCTCTGCACTAAGGAGTTCCAGGATTCATCTGCATTGTTGGCTCTGATCTCTCTGCAGCAACGCATCACTGCAAGATAAAACACTAAAGAACGTCCCTTATTAAAGTAATTCTCCTTTAGTCTTTTTCTTCGGCTCTCTTCCATGAAAGAGTATCATTGTTTAACTAGCTCCCTCAATGGTTAATTCCCCTCCGATTTAATACCCATAACACTCTGTTAGCAGGCAAGGAACTCACACTGGTTGTGGGAGATTATAGACTGAAGTCTCCAAAAATGTCAGTGCAAGAATGAAGGACAGTACTCAGATCAGGAATGAGTTGCATCTGCAGAGTTAGGCCAATGCCTGGAATAAAAGCAGGGCAATCAGGGTGAACCTAAACTTTGCAAATTGTAAAGGGTATCCAAAGTAAGAATTCAAGAGCATCAGCAAGTTGACAGAGACAAAGGAGGTGAAAATGTTTGGAATAGCTGGAAAGCTGAAGACTGAGAAAACCCTAAGGCAGCAGGCTGGAAACGAAGGCACATAGCAGATCACAGCTGAACTATGCACTCCAACTTACATGGAGGCCCCAACACTGAAACAACCCCAGTTACTGTAGGGCAGGTTCCTGCTAAGCAAGCAGAGCTGTCTGTAGACTGCTAAAAATTTTGCCTTGGTGCCACACAGCTCACATCAGTCACATGAGTACAAATTCACCTATAAGCAGCAAAAGAGAGGGTGCTAACAGAATCCAACAGAAACCACGTGAAGATCTCCTTATAGGTAGAAATGAGATGTAACAAATCTCAGAACTTTTATCTCCAGTGCTCTTATGGCCCCGCTTGTGGATCACTTTATCCAGGCATCTTTCATCAAGTGTGAAAGGAGTCTGCAACCAGGAAACACACACCTTGGCCAATAAATAACCACTTCATACAGGTAACACCCACAGAAGCCACCTAGTATTTAAGGAAATACTAGGCTAAGCATTAGCATACTCCTCACCTGTGTAAAGGCACCCAAAGTCTTTTCTGGTGAGGCAGGTATCAATCAGGAGGGAGGAAGTGGCTTCCATGGTTGCCATCTACCAGCAGCTGGGTCAGGACTGATGGCACTGACAACTCAGCTCAGTGATCCCAGTGATTCGTGACTGGTCCTCAGCTAGACTGACTATCCCAACTAAACCTCCTGTGTTTTGTTTGGGGTTTTTTTATTGTGAGATTTTATATGTTTTTGAGTTGGTGTTTTACCTCTTGAATCCCTGGGCTACTGTTGGTGCTCTCTCAGCAGCCTTATAACTGTCTAATTTTTGCCCTGCAGACTTTCTCCCAGCTCAGTCTCAGTAGGTTGAGTCCAGTTCCACTGTATCAGAGCTGGGCTCTGGATTGTTGGCACACAGGTAGTTAAACCCTTGGGTTGTGTGTCAAAGGAGGAGGTTTACAGCAGGTATTGCAGAGAAGGAGGGTTACAGTAGTCTGTTCATTTTGTAGTGACATAATTTTGGAGCTTGCTCAGTACCAGCACATTATATTTTGGGGATCTTATCTCATTTCTAAAGAGACAATGAAATAGCTCTCGAACTAGGGTTGTTCACACTATTACTTTCTACATCTTTCTGACTAAGAATGTTTTGGATCAGGCAAGTTGGCGTTTCTTCTCAAGCCGTAAAGTCTAGATGTTTTTGTAAGAGGTGAAGTCAGGCAATGGAACCCTTGGCTTCAGGGTCATTGTTCCTAGATGAACCTAGCTTAATAACCATTAAAATTACTTCTATATTGGAGCTGTCTGGTGGTTTTCACAAGCTGGGCTGCAAGAGCATCCAGCAGTGCACTTGCTTGATGTGGCACTGCCCAGCTATTTTTTGACTTGTCACTGGCAGCCTCACCACTGGCCTGCAGGGTCCATAAGCCAGCCATGGGAAATTAGTAACTCTCTTGATTACAGAAGTGGTCCTGCTGGGGTGCATCTTAGTTACATGAGCAGGAAGTGGTGAAGATGTGAAGCTCATGTTGCTGCTTCCCCTGCCACATCTGCTCTGCTGACAAAAAGCAGGCTTTGCTTTGCAGGCTGTCTGGTACATTTCAGACTCCCAGGTTACCAGCACTGAGGTAGGGTAACTGCATACCTTAAATTTGTCACTGCTACAGTTTGACTCCCTGCCTGCTGCAAAATAGGGAATACAGCCTTTTTGCCAGTAGTTTTTCCTAGCAAAAAGTTGTAGTCATCCATCCTAAGCCATCACAGAGAAAAGACTCTTTCAGCCTTCAGTAGCATGGCCCCAGTCCAAGAAAAAAAATAGTATTTATTACAAGTGGTTCATTTTGTCCACAGTTGGTCTCACTGTTGAGATAAAGCTATTGCAGAGGGCAAATGTTGTCTGTTCTGTTGTCTGACAGAGTCACTTGCATTACTGGGAACTGTGACAGAGTAGTGGTTGGCCTGTACAGAAGGCTTTTCCCTGCTACCAGCTTATTTGGGTGATGTGGGCAAACTTCTCCATGAGACTGCTGCAGAGTAAAGACCTGTTGGAATAAGCACAAAAAGTGGGTTGTCTGACCTACTGGCTTGAGCTAATTAAAGCCTCTTGGCCACGCCATCTCTTCTACCTGCTACTGTCTCTCCATGTCTAGTAATAAATGTCTACCAATGGTTGGTGCATGGTCTTCCATGTACAAATCACAGCATTGCCTGCAAGCTTACAAAAGGCCAGACTCAGCAGTCCCAGCAGCTTATAGATGTTGACAAGCATATACTTCTTTCAGCTTTGCTCTGCCACCAAGACACGGTATGGAAGCTATTGCCAAGTTCGATTTCCATGCATCTGGAGAGGATGAGTTGAGTTTCCAGGCTGGGGATATGCTGAAGGTAAGTGCAGCCCCAGGCTTGACTAAACAGCATTTCTGAGAGTTCTGCCAGATCTTTATATGCTCCCATTTGCCTTGAAAAAACAGATTAAGACAGATGTCTATAAACTGGGATACAAATGCAAGATACTTGTCTCCCATAGGGCTCAACCAACAATTCCTAGGTCACTAGTGCATTTGTCTATTTTACTTGATTTTAGGTCCATAAACTATGGATGTAGTTGCCCTAAAGTCCTCCAGTAGTCTGCAGGGAAGTGTAAGTATCTTTGCATGGGCAGAGATCCTGTTCTTTGGTAAGGGTCCTGTATATTTTCCTTGACTAATCTAGGATGCATCTAGGATGACTACATCTAAAGGCAGGCAGGATGAGTGTGGTCCAGGAAAGTTGCTGACTTCCTTATTTCCACCTCTTAAACTGTTTAAAAGATAGTTATCATGCACTATAAAACTTAACTAACTTTTCAGTGTAAGTAATTACTGTTAGCTGCTTCAGGAGTTTCAATGAATTGCAAATAGAAAAGTCCCTAAGAGAGTCTGTTACACACGAAAAGGAAGAGTTTAAGAGGTCCTGGACCATTAATAGTATATACACCCTTGCAGGAGTTTAGCGGTGGGGAAATGGCAGAAGTAGAGTTGATCATATAAAATACAGAGCATGTGAAAGTCTCTTTACAGTTGATTTGCAGGTATTATGGTAGAACAGTTCTTGTTAACCAGACCAAAGTGCCGTAGACAAAGCCACGTGCTGCTCCACCCTAATTATTCATCCGTCTCTCAGGCCCCAGTGTAGTTGTGCTGTTTCAATTGAAAATGCCTGAGTATAACTCCTCTCTAAGCCTTGTCTCTTCCATTGTCCAAAGGGATGGTGTACAATAGGATTTAAACCCTTTTTTTGCCAGAGAACCTTTGCTACCTCCCTGGACATTCCCAGCTATTCCAGTCTTTAGCCCAATATTGGGTCTCAGCCTTGCATCTAACATCACTAGCATTTTTTCTTTTATTGGCCTTTTAATTCTTGAAGCTAAGACAAAGCTGATGGCATTCAGGACTCATTAAGACCAAATAACAGGATTTTGCAGAGAGCTGTGTAAGATTTTAGAGAAATTACTGTCTCTGTTTGGCATAGATGAACAGTCTCATTCCTAATAATTCCTCAGGTCAAAAGTAGCCCCCATGTCCCTACTGTCCTGTGATCTTTACCTGATGCCATCTTCCTCAGGAGACTGATTTAATCAAGTATCTGGCTGGGGTAAAGGTGTTGGCCAGATCACTTTTCTTTCTGTTCCTCAGTTTCCTTTCCTGTAAAATCACAGTAAACTACAGCACCCTTTCAAAGTATGTTGGAAGCTACTGATGAAAAGTGTCAAATAACACTACACATCAGTCTTTTTATTAGTTGTAACAGAGACTTCACTACCAGAAATGTCAAACTGCCTCTTGCTTTAACATCTTTGAGGTAAACAAAAAAACACCTTAACCACCCAAGCCCTAGTAACAGTAAATTAGCCTGAGTAACATCTCTCTTCTGGCATACGTGCACATACATCCATGCCCCGTCATGAGACCCCTCATACTGCCTGCACAACCTGCTGGCTGTCTTTTCTGATTTATAGAGGAGATAAGATGAACAGTATTGATGTGGAGATTAGAAAACAGGAAACATGAGGCCCTCAACCAGCAGTGACAGGAGGAAATCCACCCTCTCACCCCCCCTCCACATCCTTCTCTGAGAGGATGACACACTGAAAGAAACCTTCCAGCCCTGCACTGAGAACCAGCAGGTGGGTCTTTCTGGAAACCTTGCTTCCAACAGAGCAGGGCCTGAATACGAGCAGGAAGTAGCTATCATCCCCTTTGGTTGGCCACAGCAACAAAAAAAGAGCCTTAATCTGGCACCCAGGGATAGGGGAAGCAGTGACTATACAAGCAGAGAATTCCATAGCTTCCTATTCTGCAACCTTTCTGTATCCAAATGCACCCAAAAAATGCCTTTGTGGCAAGCAAGGCAATGGAGAATCAGCCCCAGAGACAGTAACATCCTGTTGCCCACACCAAGCAGTTAGAATGTGCATTAGGTTGCCAAAAACAGGAGACTGACTTACAAAATAAGTATTTTTGTTGTTAACAATAGATTTAAAATTAAGTCTTTTCCACTTGCTTTCTCCTTTTATAACTGTCATGGCTCATGCTTTCAGGCTCCCCTGCAAAACCAGAGAGAACAGAAACATGTTCTATTTCATAAAGTGGAATTCTGTCCCCAGGAGTTGGTATGTCAGAAAAAAAACACCAAATACCACAATATTTGCAATAAAATCACAATGTGGTTGTATCCCTGTCCTCTCTCCTCTAGCTTAGGGCTATATCAGTGGCTGTCAGCCAGGCAGTAGTGGGTTTGCGCAGTCCCTGGTCACCAGTGCAGTCCCTAAGGACCATTACAGTTGACACTAATCTGAGAACACTGGAAGCTGCTCCAGTGTGTGCTGTAGACTGGCTTCCTGCTATTTTGCAATCTCTTAAATGTAATAGTGGCTTTAAAATGTTTTTTGCTTCCTTTTTTTATTTACCTTGGCAAAGCTTAGGGCAGCTGAAGACTTAACCCACTAAATAATCTCTTGCAAAATGACATGTGAGAGACATGGTAACATCTGTGTAGTCATAACACACACACACAGATATAGCTGTATATGCCTCCATACCCATACATATCAGAGGAGTTTTCACAGATATTTTTTTTTCCTGCCTTGTAAACTGGGATGCTCCAGTACCAACTATTAAAAGCAGCACAGATAACTCCTTAAGCCCCTATTAAGTCCTTCAGAGCTGAATTTCGCTATTTCATGGACATCAGAGACATGAAGACAGCATCCCCAGCCACCTGGACAGGCATTGGGATGAAAAGAGAAAGTTAACAAGCAATCCCTGTAACTCTAATCCACCTTCTTATTGCTTTGCTTGCTCTGAAGTGGCCGTCAGCCACTAACCTTGCTGCACAGTGCTGGGAGGTACAGCATACGTGGAGTTCTCGACTGTTCTTACAAGAAATTCTAGGTTTCTGCCAGAATCTTGGTTACTTTTGCTTTTCTTGGGAGACACATTTATTCCATCCATCTCTCCATTGCAGGTTTTGAGCTCCCAGGAAGAGTGGTACAAGGCTGAGCTCAGAAGCCAGGAGGGCTACGTTCCTAAGAACTTCATTGATTTCCATGTTCCCCCGTAAGTGTCACAGAAACTGCACCACCATTGCCCATTCCCACAGAGTGCTGTCAAGTGTGTGTGTGTGTGCACAAAGGAAGACAAGACAAAGGAGGCACTGGTTTAACATACCACAGTGCAAGGCTGCCGAGGGTTGCCATAATGCTACACGTAGTTCTGCCAGCACACCTTATTTCTACCCTGAAGCATCCTCTGTTCTTACAGAGCTGAATAGTTCTCAGTGCTCTCTGTCACTCCCAAGTGACTCCTTTGTTACTGCTGCTCAGAGGGGTATCCCTGGGATGTGGCAGGAACTGCACTTAGATCTCCTCGGACAGAAAGAGAAGAGTCCTGATGTGAAGTCTTGGCAACAGAGGCTGAGCACAAAACGAAGAGCAAGACATCTCTTTGAAAATGAATTATAAATGTAATCCCCGCTAGACTCTTTAGCACACTACCTCCCTTTTTCCCCATCCCGCCACCCATATTCCAACCCCTTGCAAAGTGCGTGTTTCTCTCGATGCACTAGAGGTCAGTGCGATGCTGCATGAAACGTGACAGCGGGTGTTACTCATGGATTGACAGAGGTGATAGACCAGACAAACCACCCTACACACATGCAGATACAGACACACACACACACACCTTCTCCACGTTTCGTGACTGCACACCCAAACATAGGTCTGTCAGAGGACAAGCACACCTTCACTTCTCTCTTCCCACTGAGTAGATGGCACTGCCCTTTAAGAAAGGACTGGTGGGTGTTTAAGTGCACATTAAATGTGCTGACTGGCCCTGTGCCAAAAATATAACAATGCATGGCACTTTTACAACCTTTTCCTTTCAGTTGGCAGAAACACTCCCTGTAGTCCCTCTGATCCTTCTCTTTTGAAAAAGTGCTGCAGCATTTCAGGAGAGAACAGGCAGCACATTCACCAAGCCCAGTACCGACAGCTGTAACACACTGGTGCTTAGAGCAGGCAAACTGAGAGCATGATGGCCTTTGTGGGTGCAGATAAGTGCCACTGTCCCCTGTGGAGATGGCACTTACTGGCCCTTTTGGACATAAGCCAGCCTGCTTGACAGAGCTGAAGGACATTATTAGTTTGCTGTGCAAATATGGGATTGTACTTTTGGGCCTCAGGGGCATGAGATCTTCCAGTCAGTTGTTCTTGTTCACTCTTTCACAGGGCTGTGGCATCACACAGGGACACTAGCAGCTTCTTTTTTTCACACATTTTTCTCATCATGCTTTCTCTGTGTGAGAGCTATGAAGAAATATTTCCACTTTGACGCTTTTCTAAGAGTAGCAGGTCTGCACTTTGAAGCAGTTCAGGCTGATGCTAGAATCAGATGTAGGGAAGAAAGCTGTCTCCTGTTTTTGATGGGCTGTTTTTCTCCATCTTTGTCTTGCCAAGTAATCATTGAGACCAGTTATCAGTGCTGATGAAAGTCAGATTTCACTTTGCTAATGACACATAGGTAAACTGTGATGATAGTAAGGAGAAGTAAAAAATGAGAAGTGGAAATGACAGAGCTTATGAAACTATCAGTCCTTAATTTGAATGCAGTACAGGCAATTAAGCATTACGTAAAAGCAGAAGACTGCAGACTGTATATCTTATTAGCTATGGAGTGGTGATGTATGAGTGTACATCACTTTTTTTTCCTCTTCTGAAAAATTCTTATTGACACTGTGTTATTTTAATATTTATGGTGACTTCTTGTTACTAGTCCAGTGTCTTATACTATTGTTCATTATGACTGGCTAAATTTACATAAATGTACTTATGTATTCTGTGTTTCTGCAATTTTGTGTTATTATAACGCTTGCAGGAACCAATTTACAAGTACTAAAACTTTCATGTCTCACTTCTGCTAAAAATTTATGTGTGTCCCTTGCAATATATCCATCACAGTCCAGTAATTTTCAATCAGTTTACCAAAAGCAATTTGATATATGTCTGAGAATTATGTGTGCATATATGTATACATATTTATTTGTAATTTAAAATTTCTTTGACGAACACCTTCCTATACTGTGCCTGTAATTACAGTTTCAACTGAGTGGTGGGTCTCAGCAGGCCAAAGTTTACATTGTTCCCTTTGCATCTACGTGCTTTTACTGGTCAAAGAAAATGGTCTGCAACCATTAAAACCCTGTGCCTTAGCATGTACATGGCCACTGGGAGTAGTCATATGGGCTTCTCTGATGCTTTTGTTTTGTCTTTTCTCCACCCTGCTTATTCACATTCCCCCTACCCTCAACTTCTTTGTTCCTTACCTTAATTCACCTTCCTTATTCATGTCTCCATCATTTTTCCCACTTGACAGCTGGTTTGATGAGAGGATATCCCGCCATGAAGCAGAGAACCTCCTCATGAGCAAAGGAGTTGGCTCCTTCATTGTCCGAGCCAGTCAGAACTCTCACGGTGAATTCTCCATCTCTGTCAGGTATCTGCTTCTCACAGCATTTTCCTGCTTCTTTTCCTATTTAATGGGGTCCCTTGCCTCCTCTTTACAGGATTCCTAACGTGATATAGCCTCCTGGGAAGTCTGCACACTGCCACTCACTGACAGTGCTCCTGTTGTGAATGAGAACAAATTAGGCATCTGATTCCCAAATGTTTCTGCCTGTTTTCAAGTGACACATTAAATGCCCCATTCCAAAGCTCAATGACCTGCTTCCCTGAAAAAGCTGCAGCAAAGCAGAGTGGTACTTGGGACCTGTCCCATAGTGCAACACACACGCCTTCCATTTATTTTATTTCCCTGACAGCTCTAGCTACTGTATCCAAGAATTCCACTATGACCCAGTAAGAGATTACTGTTACATTGTTAACTTATTTCTCACAGGTCACTAAACAGCCACTGGACAGCAATGGCTTTTAGTTGCTTCCAGCCCAGCCGCATTTCAGCAATTTATTGTAGCCCAGCTCTTCTCAGCGCATTTGCTTCAAAGTGGAGCTCTTAAATGATGGTTCGTTTCTCAATTTTTAGTTAAGCAATTGATAACCAGTTTTAAATTAGAGTAGTGGCTAGCAATGTCTTTTCCAACCACTGTGCACTTTCTGATTCAGGGAGCTCAAAAAGTCTCTGGGAAGAATGTAGGAAAACATTCTGGCTACATCTACACCAAAAAACTAAGTAAAGTCAGGGTCTTTCTCTGGCCCTGAGGTCGAGGGATGCAGCATAGCTCAGGTCCATATGGCTAAACCCTCTTCACCCCGCAGAAAAGAACAGCTGTGTTCAGGCAGCTCACTGTGAACAGTTGCTGCTCCACTCTGTCCCACTAACCATGACCCAGCACTATGTAGGGGAGGGCTTTTTGGTTTAGACCAAAACCATGCTAACACCTGAATAGCTTTCATGACTGTAGCAGCCCAGGATAGCACTCAGTCCCTGCCTGGTCCCCATTCAGTTTATTTGTGCAGAAGCAGCCTCTGAGACCAGTGTTTTGAGTTCCTAGAGTTGCATAGAGCAAGGAGGTAGGTACCAAAAGCAGATCACATCTGGTGCAAAGAGGAATCATCCACACCACACGAGAGGTAGGAGGAGGCATCCTGTTAATGGGGTGTTAACAGGAACCTGCAGGGGCTGCTGGGTAGACTAAAATGGCGCCTTTGTCCCTCATACAAAGTACAGAACAAAGCTATTAGCTATTTGTGGCCCTGAATTCTCCTCTGGCCTTTATTTCAAAGGAAAGGCTTTAAAACCCTATGCTTTGTTCTGATAGTGCTTTGTGACTAGACAGTCCTGCAGTGCTCCATGTTTCTAAGCTGATGAGTCTCTTGCAATACAGAACCACATGTAGGGTCAGTACACACAAGCACTGCCATTGCTTTATTCTCCAGAAGTCTAGATTTGGCCAAGCAAGAAACTTTGGTAACCTTCTGGAAAAGACTTTTATAAAAAGGTAAAAGTGCAATCTGGTTGATGATCTCCTACTTTTTTCAATTTGATCCAGGCATGAAGATGATGTGCAACACTTCAAAGTGATGAGGGATTCAAAGGGTAGCTATTACTTGTGGGCAGAGAAATTCCACTCACTAAACAAGCTGGTGGACTACTACAAGACGACTTCCATCTCCAGGCAGAAGCCGATCCTCCTGAGGGACAGCAGTCAAGAAGAGAAGGTAAAGACAAACTATCCTTAGGAGTTTCTTGATAAGAAACCATTCTGTGGAAGGAATTCAACCCATGAGAATGTCTCTGGATGGGGGAGAGAGTCTGTCCTTGAAAACCCAGTGACATCACTAAACTGATGGGGCCTGCAACAGTTTTTTTTTAGTGGATTCACTGGTATGTACAGCTGTGTAATTCAGCAGAATTTTCTGATTCTGTTTTGGATAGCAATAGGCAGTGCTGCAAATCTGCATAGTGGTGCTTTTCTCAAGCTGTGTAAGGCCCCAGAGCTGAAATTCTAAGATGCCTTCCTTATACATCTGTAGGAAGCAGGACTTACCTTATTGAAAATGCCTAGATTTCATAAGGGCAGGTACACAACTGTCTGGCACATTGTGTCTAAGAATAATTTTATTCTAGTTTCCTGGTGTTCTTGAATGTACCCAGACCATAGCTGTTATTACAGTTGAAAGTTTGTCTGCTCAGAAGAATCATCCATCCTCTGTTACAGAACAAACACAATAAGGAGTGTGGAGGAACCCCAGGCAGAACCTGGAGTGGCTGGTAGGAACTGGAAAGCAGTGCTGTGAAGAACACAGCAGATATGGGAACAAGCTGTGCAGTCAGGGAAGATGTAGTAGATGTTTGAGAAGGCAGGGAAATCCCAGACCAATGAATGCCTGGTTTTGTGCCAGAGGAACAAGCAAATGACATAATAGAGACTGCTATGCCTTGCACACACAGTACTGGGAGTGAACATGCCTGGTTGCTGCATTAGCCAAAGTCCTACTTTACTGGGAAACGGATTCTGGTTTTAAATTACCAGGATGTGCAGGTAGAGAGAGGCAAGGCAGAAAGTACGTGACTTGCTCACTGCACCAGTAAAGTTTTATTGGCTGCGTGTGGGTCATTCTTCCTGGCTCCAAAACAGAGATTATTTATTTTTCAGCCTAAAGAAGGGGCTTGTGTTGTTGTCTCCTTCTAGACCACTTAACACGGAGCTTTAAAAATGTATTAGTAAGGTATAAAGTGGAGGCTATGAGGCAGAATGAACACAGCAAAGAATTGTCTGGGGAAGGAGAAAGGAAGACTGTATGCATGTATATCAGTAAAACAACCTGTCTGGGCTGACTATGAGCAGGAAAGGAAAGAGAACTGCATTTGCTCCAAGATGCAGACAGGCAAATGAAAGAACAGGAGTCATGTTTGCTTTGGCAAACACTGTACATTTGTTATGGTGATGGGATCAGTGGGGTTTGTTTAGCACTCATCACAGTGGGATTTCTGTTCACAAATCAAACTTCTAGATGATACAGCCATATGATAGAATGATAGTAACATACAGATTTCAGTACAGAGACAAACTAATTCCAAGGGCAGTATTTCCAAAAAGAGCTTGGCTCCTGTGTCAGTCCTCACATCAATGGCCATATTTTCAGCCCAGCACTAAGTCTAAAATATGGGAGTCCTAATGTGTCCTTCTGTTCAGAGTGGCAAGACCCTTCCTTTGGAAGAGTCTCCAAGGTAAAATGAAGTGGTATTGATCACTGTGATCATTTTTGTGATCTTTCCTCCTTCAGGAGAGGCATGGTGGGAGCCTGGAACGGATGAGCCGGGAAGGATTCCACCTGGGTGGAGCAGCTGGAGAAGATTACTCTTCTACAGCCAAGAGATACGTAGAGCACCCTATCCCCATACTGCAGCAGCAACAGGTACTGGCAGGAACAAGGGGCTGAGATGTCATGTCCAGGCACATGAAACATTGATCTTAATTGCTTGGTAGCAAGTGAGCAGTCAAAAATCTGTCGCTCTGAACCTGCTTTACAAGGCAGAGTCAGTTAGGTCTTTGTGTGGGCAGAGCAGCGACAATGGTGTTGGACTGGGTAGTAATAAATATGTGGGCTTTTATTTAGTTCTGTGATCCATGACTAACAAACCAGCAAAAAATAGAAGTCAGCGCACAGTGATCCTTTCACTAAGAACCTTGGAGTACTCCTAGGGAGTTTTTGGTGCTCCATCCCAAAAACTGGGAAACAGGGAATTGTGTCATGCTCTTGCTTTGCTTATGAAAGGACATAAAGTATCATCCAGTGAGAGAGTAGAAAATCACTCCCAAATCTTGCTTGCACACATATTTCAGGAACTTCTTTCTAGTCTGTTAGACAAATGGAACATTGCTGCCTGTTTCTTATACTCCGAGTTATGCTGCTGACATTCAACACCACAAAACACAACAGAGGGATGAGAAATTACTATGGTGACCATAGGAGAGTTTGATTTCCTTCAGAAGATTCCTCCTCTCGATTACCAGCCCTCTCTGCACCCTTTCACCATGTTGCATCCCTCACATGTGAGGTTTCTTTATTCCTCTGCTTGCATAGGAATGGAAAGCACATCAGTACCTGGTGCTACTTTCAGTGTTCTTCCTGATTAGTTTGGGAGGAAATAGTTTTCCTGAGGTTGATTCATGTCTCTAGCTAGACAAAGTATAGCATTATCCAAGGAGAGGACTTGTTCTGCTGAAGGGAAGAAATCCAAAGCCATTTCCTG